AAAAAAAAAAAAAAAAGCTTTACAAATAAATGTGACTCAATTAGAACTTAAAAGTGACCTCCCAAAATTTGTTGATGCAGAGACTTGGAAACACAGCAGCCACAAGATTAGATTAGGTTCAGATCGGGTGCTGTGCCATTATAAAGTTGCTCCAAAAAACCCATGAAATGAATGATGGCACGCCAAAACGCTTAAAAGGAAAATAGGAAAGTCTGAAATGCTAATATATTTTTGTTGACAGACTAAACCAAGGATTTTTGACATACAGTGCGCCTTCATCAGAACATCATCCACATTACACCTCGCCAAGTTTTTTAATGCTTGTGAATAACTACAGCTTGAATGTGGGTGGTCCATTGAATTAACAACATCTAGCAGCATTTAGCTTGTCGCTGGGTTTATTGGCCCCTCTTGTGCCTCTGCTGCCACCAGTGCTGTCATCCATTTGGGTCATGAACACATATCCCGTCAGCTGCCCACTGAACCCTGGGCTGCTTTGTGGAGAATACTTCTCCAGTGGTCTGTGTCTCTCAGTGTGGGTGCTACAAGCCTGCATGTCCTGGGTGTTAGTCACAGGGATCAATCAGGGCCCCCTGCCTGGCCACAGGGACCTTTATCCACAGGAGTGGGGGTTGGTGTGATGGTGGTGATGGTGGAGAGGGGGGTGCAGGAGATCTGGATGTACCCCCCTCTTCTATCTATACACACACACACACACACACACACAACCTCAAAATGGCAATGCAATCCTCTCACCACCTATGGCGTGCCCTCTCTGAAACACAAGCTTGATATGGAAACGACATGCATATGTATTCATGTGACCGCCGGCTTCATGTCCCTGAGCCAGCCCACACCAATAACTGAGAGGCTGCTCTTTAGCTTCTGTGGAAGCTAATTACATCTCTGCTTTATTAGCGCAGAGGTATAGTCAGGAATATTTTGCATTTCATATCTCATTCCCTCCTTTTAATGTCAGACCTGTCTTTGGCATTATCATTTGATTTGAGCCCCAGTGGTCCCAAACAGCCAGAAAGCAGACCATCCAAGAAAAAGAAACACTCATACTCATAATAATAATTTTAGTTCTTGATGTTTAACATACAGCACCCTGCCCTATATTACTGCTGATGTTTTTTGTATGTTACCCAATAGATTCAGTGTAGTCTTTTTTACATCAAGACTATTTATACTTGTTCTGTAAATTCTGACTGAAATCATCCGTCCAACCAGTTCATTTATGACAGGAAGAATTAATGTAAAAGTCACATACCCTATCTAACCTGTGTTGTCCTCTGCCAACCTCAGAACTCTTGGTGCCTTGCTTAGCTTTGCATGGTACATAAATGAGAGAGACAAAGAGAGTTTTGTTCAACAGATACGTGTGTCATCTACTCTCAAACCCAGGAGAAGACCATGTGATGTACTACTGACTTCATAAAAACATCACTGGCAGTTGTTGTAGAGTTTCCTCCTCTTTACACAGCTTGCTGTCGATACAGTGTAACACACATGATAAGGTCATCTACCTGACTGGTGCATATGAAGCTGTGGAAAAGCAACAGCGTTTCTTCTTTACCTGAGTGAACATGGCCCCAGGCACGTTTCTTTTTAGGACAGGTTAAGTTATCCATGAGGATGTGATGAAGAAAGGTGCACAGCCTGAGGTGCAGCACAGGGTATAATCCTACGTATCCATGCTTGTGTTGTTGTGTAGATTCTCTCTGTGAAGGCATAATTAGACCGAGTGCTGGAGGAGAGGAGGAAAATATGAGCGAAGGTAGAGGTGTGCGAGGTTCAGGGAGTTGCTCTAATCGTCTTTGTCAACCTCCCGCTGTGGTGTCAAGTTTCATATCGGCTCTCTGCGGCCGCATCAAGGAGCAGGAGGGCCTCGGCGGGGTGGAGTTGGCTGACGAAGTGTGCCCACACCATACACAAAAGCACAGCAAAACACACACACACACAGACTCTGTCGCAACCAACATTGGTGGCATGAACGTAAATGACTGTGGAGGTGAGCCAGTGAGTGGTGAGAGGCCACTCTGTGTGTGTTCTGTGGTTCTTTGTTCCCTCCGTCAAAGCCACTCAGAAAATCCTCTGCTTGCTCTGGGCCAGTCCTGTAAGCACAACACGTCACCGCTCAGCTAATTCAGGCCAGAATCAGAATCATTTCTTGCCAAGTACAATAATTGTGGGGGAATTTGTCGTGCTGACAACTCTCAAAGACAGTTACAGCCTTTAAAGGATGTGAGGACTGCATTGACTGTCAAATGCAACAAACCAAACACAAATGTTGCATGTTTACCCTCTTCTATGCCTCTGCTTATATGTAATAACATGTAAATAATGTGTCAGCATTAGGCCTGTGAGAAATGACCAGTACATCAAGAAAATACAAAACGAAAAAGCGTCAAAGCGGCGTGCATACAGAGTTTGCTGACATTAGTATATAGCAGGATTCATCCCAGCTCCGTGCCAATCCTCAGGAGCATCCTTACCAAGCTTTAACTTCATCCAAACACTCTTGTTGTCCTTGCTTCGCGGAGTGCCGACACAAACAGACCCTGGAATGGGAATTCTGTGCCATTATGACCAAAGCATAGCACTCTAACAAAACTAATGCATATTGTCATCCAAGGAAATATTCATGAATGCAAGCAGGATCTCAGAATATATTTTGATAATGTTAGGACATGAGGCTACACAAGGCTTTCCCATTATGCTCAAATGGAATTATTTTTCTATACTGGATTGAGCAGAATTGACAGGTCAACCAGTAGGAGTCGCTAAAGCTGCGACACAATCCCAAAAGATGGCTTCCCAAGTGGGCCTTTCCCCTGCGCTATCGGGGCGTCCTTATCAGTGTGCGACTTTCACTGGCTTTAGTAACTTTACCTTCAGTTCACCCTGAACAGGTGCATTTTTTTTTTATTTACAAAAACTACCATGTCCCTCTCCTGTATGTCTATTTTTGAGTGTCGTTGCACAATCTAGATGTGTTCAAATGTAAAAATCCATAATCCTAATCAGATTAAGGACATCGAATGTGTCACAATGCAATGTATGTTTTTTTTATTTGGAGGTCTATAAAGGTCCTTTACCTAATCAATATCAATGAATCACTTAATGCATTTAAGTAGTGCTTTGTCTTGCAGAAGAGCTCAATTAGTTGAGATTTAATGCACTTTAAACTAGAAGTCTTCCATTGCATGAATTTTACTAATCTCCCATCTGTCATGTTGCAGGGATGATGATGACATCAATGACGTGGCCTCCATGGCCGGGGTGAACCTGAACGAGGAGAGCGCGAGAATACTTGCCACCAACTCTGAACTAGTGGGAACGCAGATCCGGTCATGTAAAGATGAGGCCTTTCTACACCCGGGACTGCTCCACCGACGAATATTGGAAACAGGTTAGATCAGTATGCCTTGCGTGCCTTGCAGTGTGCTGCAGATCATAAACATTTAACTTTTAAATGTTCTTAGCAGCAGTTAGAGAAGCCTCTCAGAAATCAAGTGGTTATTTTAGCAGTAGGAAAAAATCTTATTGTTATATCAATTTGCCCCCCACCCTTCCGCTCTCAACAACAACCCAAAGCTGAAAATCCAGGCTGTAGTGGTGATGAAATCACTGTCTGTTGTCTTTTGTGTTAGGAACATGTTGTTGCTGTATTTATAGTGTCATCACTAAAGACAGTTTTGATTTTCTCTCCTTCAGTGGTTCAGGCTGATCCTTTTCTTGTTTGGCCTCGGTTTAAATTTGATACACTTAACAATTCTTTCACCTCCTTTAATGAATTCTTCAGTGGCTGTCTGAACTCACTGGACCTCAGGCACACACATAAATACTTTATGGGTTTGTCTTTTGAAGGCTGCTGTCAGATTGTCCTCTGGACTAAAGGAACTGAGTTTAGAGGAATGAGACTTGGCAGTGAGATTTTTATTCTTTCTCTCGTTTTAGTGGATCCTGACACTCTGATAGCACACAGTATTGCGTGTGCTAATCGATACAGGCGGAGTAGTCTTGGTCTGTTTGCAGCATCATATGAGAGTGATAGTGTCTTCATTACCTCTTTTTGCTACTGGCATTCAATTTTATAGCTTGAAATATACTCTAGGCTTTCGCTGCATAGTGAAACCTGTGAAAACGCATAATGAGCGTTATTACTCAAAATAAATCTGTGCCTAGCATCTTGCTCCTGTGCATCAGATCAAAAAACACACAGCATAATTCCACGTGACGGGGAGTCTAGCGCCCTCATCTTGTTTTACCTCAATTAAAGTATCTTTAGTGTAGCACGGAGGCCTGCAGGTCATGTTTCGTTACGTGGACTCTTGGCATGGTTGTTATCCCGTCACCTTGGGGCAGAGGGGTTGTTTAAAAATATAAATCTTTCCTCAGGGTGGGGGCACGCAGCATGATACAGGGCAGGAGGCTAGGGCGCCCCCTGCTGGGGAAGTGGCACTTATGCAGCTTTGTTGTGTCAGTGATTGGCCTCTCCACGCTCTCAGCTGACAGCAGTCCGAGGGAGGCTCCCCTGGCCTGCCAGCTCCACTCAATCAGAAAGCCTCGGCTGCTCCTCTCTCCTCCTCTCTACTGTACAAGCACCAAGTGCAACTCTCCTCTGCCTTCTCATTAACATCCTGCTAAAACTTCACTGTGACCTTTCCTGCCCTCTGGTTGCCCCCACAAAAAAGATCCAGTATCGTTCTTTTATTTGTAACTTTTGTCAAATCAGTGAAGACATCCGGATTCTTTTCCCCTTTGTTTCCTTTCTTCTTTTTTGAACACTGATTCCAGGAGAGGACGTTGACTGCCTGTTTCTATCCCCTTCTTTATTTTCCCCTTTATGTCTCTCTGTGTCTCGTTTCCGCTCCTCTCTTATTTATCCCCTCCAAACAAACATTGTGCTGCCCTCCTCTCCTAAACCTCTCTCCCTCCCCTCATAACTCTTCAGGCTGGTCCTTGAGCTGGGGAGGAGGGGATGGGAGGCGGGGGGCAGTTTCATTTGTGAAGCTGCAAAATAGCACTCCACCCCCCCACCCCACCATCTCAGGAACCAGAACACAGGCACAGCTGGAGCTCTCTAGAAAAGCTCCTCAAAGTAATGATAGTCCACTGATACCTTACCTACCTACATGCTCATCACATCGATTTATACATGTGGACAGACACAAGAAGACTGACGTGACACTGACACACACAGACACACAGACACACGACAGGAAACACACAGGTTCTTAGATCTATTTAAAATGTCTTAAAATGATCAAATTCTGACCTGAAAATATATTAGAATAAGCATTTGTGTGTTTATTATTACCTATTATTATTATTAACCTAGTCCAGCTTGTTAACTCCATTAAATAGCACAACAAAGCCAAGATATAATGGAAATGTTAGCTGCTTGAGCGTGCTTGGGAGTGAATCGTCAAAGGAACAGACACTGCTACTAAATAATCGAATTGTCTTTTTGTCACCATGCTGTGGCATTTTATGCTACATCCACTATTAGATTACACCTGTATCACTGCAATATTCATCGTCTCTGCTTTACTCAACACAATAGGACTTAATGTCCCTAAACAATTTATTTTCTGATTCTCATTTCCCCCCCTTTTAATGCCCTTGCTGCACTTTTTCTGCTTTGTCCCGTGTCTTGAATGCAGTTCCTGTTGGAAATTCAAAATAAATCAATTTATGTATAAATCCTTGTAACCCAACACAGTAAATGTAGAATATAAAAAAGTGAAAGAAACAAATCACAAACTCTGTGGATATTGTTAAGCTGTCAAGGATGGATGTCAGGAACAGTGGCCCTTGCATTGGAAAATGGTTGTTTTTTAAAAAAGTGGACTGGAAGAGGAATCATCTACGTCACAGCCCATGTAAGAGACTCTGGCTGGTTATGAAACCTCCAATTCAACTGTTACAATGGGGAAATTTACTGCAGGTCACAGAACACAAAATCGACTTTTTACCCCTTCACTGATCATCAAGAGGACAGTAAAATGTGTTAATAAGGTTTGTGTGTGTTTTGTAGATCTGGAATAACCTTATAACCATGTTCAGTGGCTGCGAGCGTATGGTATCCATTGGTTATTTTTGCGGGTCATTTATTCTCTGTACAATCCATTGACAGTATATAAAGTACAATCTGAACAAAAGCTGTGTTCTTATTATTTGCATCACATCTAGCATGTTTAAGCTGGGTGCAGACTGTAGCAAGGATACAACTTGGTCCATCTTTGCTATTTGAGAATGGAGTGCTTATTTTGGCTTTACTAGACTGTTGTGCAGTGGAAAAGATTTCAGCTAAGATCAGGGTTCCCGCTGAGAAAGGGTGAATTGCTCAGTTTAGGGGAGGGGGAGCAGCTTCCCCGAGTTCAGGTATCTCAGGGGCTTGCGTTATTATGCATTTGTGGACAGAGAAAAGAAAGAATCCCATAGTTGCAGATATTAGATATAATTTAGTAGCTGGGTCATTCAGGACATTTTCCATGTTCACCCCCAGCTACTTTTTAGGGGGACCCTTGTTGCTATGGACACCACTCAGTTCTATACTAAATAGATATTCAAGTTAGCAGGTCTCAATGCAGATTGTGTCTCTCCATTAGATTTCTTTATGATGTCTGTTGTGTTGAAAGTGATTAGCAGACATCTACAGCATATATAATGTATGTACATGTACATATGTACGTATGTACAGTTTTGTCTCAGTTGATGCTGAAAACCTCAGGGAAGTCGTAACACTAAAGTCCTCCACATGCAGTCTTGACCTACCAACGTCCTTTTTTAAAAATGTTTTAATTCATTGTCGGAGGAGGTCCTCATGATTTTTAATCAGTCTGTGCAACAAGGCACATTCCCCACAGCATTCAAGACTGCACTTGTGAAGCCTTGTTTAAAGAAAAGTAGCCTTAATCCCGCTATACCAAGTAACTACAGACCGATCTCCAATCTTCTATTTTTAAGCAAATTTTAGAAGAAAATATAAATGGTTATTTCCAACAATAAGTTGAAAATGTTTCAGTGTGGTTTAAGAGCTAATCATAGCCCTGAAACAGCCCTTGTGAAAGTAGCCAGTGACATCAGGATAAATCTTATAAACCTTCAGTTTTGGTACTTCAGAGTCTTAGTGCTGCTTCTGATAGAGTTGATCACAAAAATTCTTTTAAATAGACTCAGGGATCATATTGGACGGTTTGCTTCTTATCTGTCTGGAAGAAATTTGTTGTCACAACTTACAATAATATTCTTTCCAAAACCTCCAAAATAACCTGTTGTGTTCCCCAAGGATCAATTGTAGGGCCGATTTTTAATCTAAATATGCTACCCCTGGATGATGTCATCAGGAGACATGGCATCTCTTTCCATAGTTATGCTGATGACACACAGCTTTATGTGGCCTGACCTTAACTTTGAGGCTCATGTGGGGTTTGTCCCTAAATCTGCTTTTTATCACCTAAAAAATATATTGACACAGAGAAACTAATGCATGCTTTTTTCTTTAGCAGGCTAGATTACTGTAATGAACTTCTTTCAGGTCTACCAAAAAAAAGTCCTTACATTGGTTGCCTGTCAGTTTCCGCATTGATTTTAAAACACTTCATGGTCTAGCACACATGTTTACAGAGTATATACAGGTGTGGCCACTCAGCTCAATCCTTCAAACCTTTCAAGACAATTTATCCAATAGTTCTCGAGGCATTTCACTCAGAACTCAAAACATTCTCACAAATGTGAGTCTCAAATTTTTCATAAAATTTCATTATTAATTTCGTTATTCCTGTTATCTTTTCTGGCTTTTGTGTAGAAATTAAGCAAAAATATTAAAGTTGCCCAGTTCATTAGTCTGTTTCTAGCTGTGTTATAGGCCCCTTTTTTCTGGGTGAATAATATTGATTTGTATCAGTACAAGTTGAAGAGCATTTGTTTTGCTCAAAGAAATGTGGCTCTCTGGCTCTTACGTCTCTTAAACTTTCTCTGAAATATTAATGTCCCTGAAAGATCTTATTTTTTAGAAAGCAGAAGCCTATTAGTGTTTTTCTTTGACCTTGTGACATTGCCACATGTATTGCCGCTGTAATTATAAGGCTAACAGGGCTGCCTCCATCCATTTCAAAGCTTGAGCGGGTGTGGAGTATATGTATTGTTCAGCTGATTTAAATAATTGGTGTGGTTTACTTAAAAGGGTGCCAGAGAGAAAATTATGGTAATGGAATAATTTAAAAGGAAGTTGGAAACAGATAGTAACCCTACCAAAGTCTGTCCTCCTCTCCTTTGTTATGACTTCAGATGAGTTTTGCTCCAAGGAAACTAAATTATCCTTCTCCTGCGAAAAGAGATGGTCAATGTCGTTTACACACTTGAAGGAGCTTAGCTTGTAAAGCCAGTCTGGAATTTGCGAAGACTGTGAAACAAATTAACTTTTCTGTGTGATGAGTCCTATTTCTGGGAGTTAATTGCACGTACAATCCAGACAGTTGCTGAGTGTGAATGTGTGTGTGAATACAGTAGGTGTGTGTATGAGTGGAGGTACTGAAAGAAAGTTGTGGGTTGTCTTCTGTTGGTGTGTTTTTATGAGTTGTCTGGTTGTGTGTGTGTCTGTAGTGAAACAATTACCTTCTACGTGCTTAGCTGTTCTTTTTCCCAAAATGGCAAATCTTGGAAGCAAGAGAAGTGATGATAAAACAATCGCTCTCAACCTGTTTATCCCTGTAGTAAATTAAAAGTGAGAATAAAGGTTATATTATAAAAAGTCCCAGATGGTAAAGTGGAGGATCAACATTTTAATTGGGACAGAATCAGTGAGGTGAATGAGAAATCTGGTTTTAATTATGAGAAGCAAAAGTACCGACAACAGTACCTGTTGAAAGAGTTGTCGAGTTGATGCTAATGAGACACTGATTGAAATAGTTTCATGTTTTGTTTGCCGTTATTCTTCACAGCTAAGAAGTTTGGAGTCACAGAGGTCCCTATGGAGGCAGTGACATTCATCTCGCACGCCACACAGTCACGACTTCGTACTGTGGTAGAAAAGGTTTCTACTATCGCACAGCACCGACTGGACTCCTGTAAGGTAGGAAGAACGCAAACACAACTCAAACACACACACATGCATACACATGTCCAGAGCTAATAAGACCGCTGTTGGAGTCCTTTAATGCATTTAATTTAAGCTTGATCCATTTCTAATCAGTTTTTTATTGTAACTCACTACACTCAAGATGAACCAACTTTCAGATTCCTTGCCACATTTTTCAAGCCGCTAAGCCTACTAGCTAATGTACAAAAAATAATTACACAAAAGCAAATATTTTATCTGTAATCATTGGCAGAGTGCAATGTCCGTGTGTTTGCTGACTTTGTAAGATGCAGCGGCTTTGTTATGTTAACTTGTCACTAGGAATGTAAAGATATATCGCAAAAATTCAAATCGCGATACAAATGTAAAGATTCAATCCTAACACTATTTTTAAACACCAGAGGGCATTTTGCTTGTTTGACGTCCTACTATGTGACGTCACTTGCATTAGTGGCTGTATCAAGGCACAAAGATGTCAGTTTCACTTTTACAAAGAAAAGGAAGATATACAAAATAATTATGTAATTTGATAATGAAAATAAAGAAAATATATATTTTGTAGATTTTGTTGAAAATAAAGGAATCTTTTTCAGTCATAATTTGTCTTCAACTTCATTTTCTCAACAAAAAAAAAAAAAGAAAATCATATTGTGAACCCAGTATGAATTGTGAGTTGAGTGTATCGTTACTTCCTTACTTGTCACTAAAGTGAGGCAGTTGAGGCACCGCAAATGTACAAAACCCACTCAGACTGGATTTTAACTGCAGAAATGAACTTATTTGCTGAGGCAGAAAGCAGGTGGGAAGATAAAGTTGAACATTATACAGTATTTTATTGAGATCCTATTAATAGCCTTGCACATCCCTAACTCCTCCTGTACACATGTTGTGTCCTTGGGCAAGACTTGCAAGCTCCTGATGGGCAGGCCATTGCCTCACATGGTGGTTCTGCCACTATCAATGTGTGAGTATGAGTGGGTAAATGAGAGGCAAATTGTAAAGCACTTTGTCTGTTAATGTCAAAAAGTGCTATATAACTGCAGTACATTTTACCATTTACCATTTACCATTTATTTGGCCATGTATAATATAAACAATCAGTATTTCATGAATGAGAAAGTTATGTAAATTCCAGCCCTCTGTCAAACCAGCTGGACATTGAGATGTCAGTTTGCTCATTGAAAAGAGTACGGAGATAAATCTGCTGTGACCTCAGCCACAGCGTATTTTAGGATGTGGGACATAACAAACCATATGATGTCAAACTCATGAACCTCATGAACCTCGGTTATAGTAAAAATGGGTGCCATGCAGCCGACCATTATGTAGGGAAATATACTGTAAATATTGGGCCAAAACTCTTAAAACACTGGAGTTGGGAAAGAAACTTTATGAGGACATTCAAGCACAAACACACAAACTGGAATGCAGGCAGGCTTGTGTGCTCTGACATTCCCCACACAGACACACAATTTCACATGCACACAAATGCGCTTTAATCTGTCTCGCACATAACCTCACAAGTGTAAAAATGTAAGTGTACCACTCACATAAACACATAGAAGTTATATGAGAAATATTTTTTTACCCTTAAGTTGATAAACAGGAGAGCTCAGACTTTTCTGTCAGTCAGCCAAAACTTGAAATATGAAAGAACTTCTAAGTGCTCGTCTGCGTACACCTGCGTTCTTTTCTAGTTATTGGTGACTTTATCTCTCGTAGCCCTTGAATGAAACTATACAACCACATTTAATTGGTGTATATTAAAGCACAAATCCACCTCGACTACAAGCCTAAATCTTGGCGTTGTTAGGAGAACTGGGGGGAAACTTTGAAAATGTGTTTTTCCTGACACCAAGAAGAGAGGAAGAGGAGGAGGGAGGAAGAGCATCGCTACAGCTGTCCCCATCTTGTTTTGCGCTTCTTCTTCTTCTTCTTCTGTTCGTTCATTCTTTTCCTTTTTTGTGGTTTTGTAAATGAGGTGTGTGTGAGAGGCATGAAGCTCTGTGAAGCCACTCTGTTGACATCAGCGAAAAAGAAAAGAGAAAAAGACCAAAAGACAAAGCGGCCTTAAAGAGCAGCCGGGCTTCGGCAGCGGCAGTAGGAGCTACGGCGGGAGTGCAGGCTCAGCGCTGCAACAAAGAGGGGGGAGACTGGATGACAGAGAGAGAGAGAGAGAGAGAGAGGGTGGTGGGTGGAGGGATTCCTGGCGACAGCCTCCCTTTCTGGAATGTGTTTTGTGCTCCTTGCCACCCCCCAGCTTCTCCTCATCACACTCCATGGAAACACAACAACACACACACCACACAAAACAGCACACACACACACACAAACACACACCGCCACAACAGATGGAAAAGAAAGTGATATAGAAATTAAGTGCGAGAGGAGAACAGAGCTGCATAGGAGACACACAGACATACACATACAAACATGTGAAATAAGAAATTATCCTATTAACTTTTGATGGCCTACAAAAGTTGTTTTTACACTCCATTTCCCAAGTGGGAGGTGATGCACCATACGCAAAGAGCAGCGTCGTCTGTAAATAGAAAAAGTTAGTGTGTTCAAGTCTGTTGTTGCGATCAGATCGGTGGCGTTCCAGATGAGCTGTCTTAAAGTTGGTTTAACCAAATGTAAAGTGTAAAGTTAATGATGAAGGTATTTTTTATGCTTATCAGCGGGGCATGCCTTACCTTTTTATTGTAATCTTGGTAGTCCATTACGTCTTTTTTTTCCTATTGGAGCCATATCGCTGTATTTTTTAAACAATACTGCTTTTAATTGGGTAGACAGACATCTGTGCGTTGGCAAGGATACAGCGAGCACTTCCACCACAATTACAGTGCATACAATAAATCACACCTGGACAGAGGGTTCTATCAATTCGGTATCAGTCTGACACGATATGTATAATTATTTATCATCACTCCTAACTTATAATACAAATAGACCTTGCATCTGCTCAAGAACAGTGAATCATGATCACACACATCTTAAAAACTTTGTCGTGCCTCCTTTTTTGGCAGTTTTCAGTGTTTCCATATATTGTCAAAACATAAAGGGACATTTACATTTAACTGTGGAACAATAGAAACGAGTAGTTGATTGATATACTGTATATGTCAATCGAGAGAAAAGTGATTTACAACAATTTCAAAATAAATTCTGTATTTTTTGGGGGGAAATATTTCAAGCAAAATGGCTAGAAATAAAATCCTGGTTCCAACTTCGTAATTTTAGCATTTGCTGCTCTGTTCTGAATCATTTTAAATGTAGTATCTTTTTGTGTTGGACGTACAAAAGAAGTCATTTTACAAGATGTCTGATAAAAAAAAATGTATTTCAAATAATCAGTAGTTGCAGACTTAATAGTAGAACAACTGTGTTACAGCACTATTGTTCATTTACTAATGTTGTGAGACCCCCTTAATGCATGACAATAATTTCTATTTTGCAACTAAAAGTGGACATAAAATATTGAGATTGGTAGACAGTACATAACTTATCTTGCCAAACTTTGTCTCTCTTAAGTCTCAAGTTTCTCAATTTTTTGTCATTGAGGTCAGACAAATATTCTAATACCATACTCTGTGCTTGGGATGAAATCATTGCTGTAGCAATATATTTACAGTGGATGATGTTATTATAATATTTTTGGTTTTAAGATAATTTAGTATGTATACATGGACTGAGGGCTGCCCTGAAGTTACTGAAATATGTGCCCGAAGCCTCAGCAGCAGCCATTGAACGGGAGTCATTGGCGTCGCAGTGATTTTCTCTCTGTTTCCTTGTCAGGATGATGAGTGCTATGAGCAGAATGCAGACGTTCGCTCTCAGCTTCGCTTCTTCGAGCAGCTGGAGAGAATCGAGAAGCAGAGGAAGGACGAGCAGGAGAGAGAGATCCTTTTGAAAGCCGCTAAAGTAAGTTATTGTCACCTCACCATCCTGTCTTTGCGTGTGTGCGTATGTGTGGCTGTGTGTCACAGAGAGTTGTTATGTCCCCATGCAACAGTGTGTTTTTGTGTACTGCTGTGTGTATGTGTGTGCATGTTGCTCCTGCGCAGGCCCTGACAGATGAATTAGAGTGTGACACCAGTGGATGAAGTGACCTCTCTGTGTCCTCCCAGGCTCCTGGCCCCAGGGCTCCTCTGTCCTGGCTCTTCCTCCCTGGACACAGTGAGGAGGACGGTGTGGGGGTGGGGGTGGGGACTTGTACACTATGCAACCCCCATGCACCATGCAGCCAACACACACACTCACCCCCATGCACAAGCTGCAAAACATCCATCTATCATGAGCATTGACAGCTCAGGTGAAACAAAGCATCAGTTTTTAAAAAAAATAGTACAGATTTCTTAGAGTGTCAGTGAGGCTGGTATGTGACTGTTGTTGTCAATCAATCTATATCAATATACTGTATACAGCTTTTACATGTGTTGTTCTAAACATCAGCCAACAACAGGAAAATTGCCCCGTGCTCAGGATTCATTGCATTTTTCCAACAGCAACAACGGATATTATGCCTCTCAGATATATGTTTGGAATAAACAGTATTAGTAACTATGAACATAGATAGTTGCTGTTGTTTAAACTGTGAACAGAAATGAAGAGCCTTAATGCTGGCAGCAATGCTTGATGTAGAGGTGGTCTTTAGAAACAGCACTAACCGTTTAGTACTAAAAATGTTCCAAAAACACATATAAAATTGGTGGTGGTCACAGATTATGACTTTATGTAATAAGACATATTATGATTTCCTTTTCCAAAACACAACATATTTGAGGTGGCAAACTTACAAACTTGGGGAGAAGCTGTGTTGGCTTTGGCGGCGTAGTGTGCACTTCATTGTAATTGTTATTCACATAATTTTAAAAACAGTCCTAATACTTCTCACTGAATCTTGAATAATGGTAAAGGTTTAAAGATTGACCTGTAATAGTAAATATTTAGTAAAGATAAATCTAATGCCATCATTTTAACAGTAAGTGGCTGCTAACACTGACATTACTGCCGAGACAGTCGTTTAAACTCTCATATGAAACACAGCAAGCTTCGTATCTAATATTAATTAACTAAACTTACAAATTGTAGTGGGGATTCTGTGTGTTTCAGCTGAATCCCACAGTGTTGATAAGCTGTTTTGTAAAGCTACAGTACGTGAAAAAGTTTGTACAAATGCTGTAACATTTCCATTAGAAAGGAAATCAGATGCAAATAGGATTCAGTAACATACACTACAACAAACTTTCAAAAATAATCAGCAGTAATGTAAGGTTGTATGGTTTGTAATATCACTGATATAATCCTTTATGAAGAAGTACAGTTGGTGTGGACCCTTCCCACTATAGAGTGCATAGTCTACATTTTTTTAAATCATCTTTTTATTTATGGATGGAAGTTAAATTGTTGTCCAGTTGATAGATTACTGTTGCACACAATAAAACATATTGAACAGGAATATCTGCACTAAGGTCACAAGAAAGTAAAAAGGTTCCTTGCATTGTCACCTGTCCCTTTGTGATCCCGGCCCTGTGCATGTACGGACATTTGTTTATCAGTAAAAAAAATGTCTTCAAATTTGGAAAGATCACTACTGACCCAAAAAAAAGAGAGAGAATCTTTTTGCAAATGAAAATGCCTCGCGGGGCAACATTAGCAGAAAGCTAGGTTAATTTAATTAATTTTGAATGGAGCCAATGTCCCACAGTAAAGATTCTCATTGCGGCACACCTCACCGTCTTAATTGCATTATTACACTCCAGTCCTGCCATGCAGGATATTAGAAAATCCTCTAGCTGATGAACACTGGCCACCAAACCTCATGACCTGTCTGTTTTTTCTTATAGGAGCGACCAGATAACCTCACTCCTGGTTGTGAAAAAAGACATTACCTCAGCAAGAAAACGACACTGTAGAGTGTGTTGTTAAAAAAATGTATAGTGACGCTTTTATATCCTCTGTCAGTGGCCGGTTCTGCATGGTTGAACAGTGTAATCTTTTTTTTTTTTTTTACACTGTGAACAGATCTATTCGTTAACAGGATTAGTGAAGAACTTTTGCAAATTTAGCCAAGTTCTTATTGGAAGGGCTTACCTCTGGGCTATTTGGATTGCATGAGCATCGTTGAGCATAGTTTGACTTCACCTCTGAGCCATGTCTATGGCTTTTTGGCCGTTGTTGCCATGGTGTTTCAGTTCAGGGAGAAGTTTGGAAAGAAAATCTTTGCCTAATAATTGTATGGTATATTTCACAACCACATGGCCTTTTTTCTACTATTTAACTATTCTATATTATTGTATTGAAACAAGCATGTTTATCACTTATGTTGTATCAGAACACTGCGGTCAAAGTCCATCCTAAAACACTTAAACACGTACCGGTTATGTAACCTTACATTTTCTTCTTTTCTTTTCTTTTCTTTTCTTGTTTTGTTTTCAGTGTTAAAGTTTATTTTTCATGCTCCCAATGATAACTGTCCAAATCCTAAGTGGTTTTTTTTTTTGGCATTTGTTCTTTTAAAGGCGGCATTTTAATTAGCACTCTCCATTTTAGACCAATTTAGATACAGGCAGATATCCAACACTGTATAAACCTCAAAACTCCATAATGTTATGCAGCCAGAAGACAAATTCCTTAAGTGGCTCGTTTCACTTTTTCCCAACATACAACACTTCTGCTCTCATAAATTTGATGATAGTGATTTTTGGTTATTTGAAGGATATTTCATATCTTTTTACTTTCAGTGATGTTTTGTAAAGCAAATGAAAAAAGCAATATTGATGAATAAATATAATGGCATATAAGTTTCACCCACTGGACACTGACAAAATATATATTGACAGAATATTATAGTATTATACTATAATCAAGTTAACTTTGCTCTTTCCACACACAACCCAAAGCTAAATGAAAGTACAACCCAGCAGGGGTTAAAGGAGTAGAAGTAGACAAAACTAGTCAAGATAAAGAAATTACAACATGACATCACAAAATAGCTCCTGGAATATCACAGATTGACCATACACTGTTGAACAATATAGTGGAGTATGGAGTCCCGTCTTTATTATTTAAGCACAGGGCAGCACAAAGCTTGTCAGCGTCTACTACACAGTCCTCTTCTCCCCTTCTCCTCTCTGTTCTCTCCTGTAAGTGGGAAAATCAGGGCAGCTGACAGAGGAGATGTAAAGCATGCCAGTGGCACCGCTGCCCTTTGTAAACAGTCCATCTGTACCAACCCCTCCCACTCGTCCGCCCCTCCGCCACCCACCTACCTCCCTCCCTGCCTGCCCGCCTGCCTCTCTCCTGCTCCAGCGCCCGCTAATTTGACCTCTTGAATAAGAATCCCACTAAAATAATCCCCTCCACCCTCGTCTTCTCTCCTCCTTCCTTCACAACAAGCCCTCCCCTCCCCTCCGCCGTCCATTTAAAATATGACTCAAGTCTTGAGGGATGCTCCGGTCGACCGGAGGGCAAACACATTAGTCTTAGTTGAGATACCGACCAGTACGTGAACCGCCTGATATATTTAAAGCCAATTAGCAGGAAGGCTAGGAGGAGCAGCTCTCCATCCATAAGGCAGTGAAGATGAGGAGGGGAAGGGGAGAAAGGGATGGGAGAGGGTTGAGGCAGGAGTGAGGGGTCCTGGATTAGAACACTCACAATGATTGATTTGATATTGGAAGGAGAAATTGAGTATATAGTAAACCCCAAAAAGATAGATACAAATAAATATATTCAAGGGCCATTTTATTGTTTTACACATGACCTTCCCTTCATATAGGCCTATTCTGAAATGTGGAGGAAAAGAGGTTTTACAACTACACAATGGACAATAAAAGAAAGGTTTTCCGTGGACCTGACCTAATTTTGGTTAATCTAGCAAAAATGAAACTACACAGATTATATACAGAACATAACAGCACTCAGTGAGTGTGTGTGTGTGTAGAACCATAATCTGCCCGTACTGCCTGCAGTGGTCAGCCGTACATGTACATTTGGCTGTGTGGTGAAGGATTCCCAGGGACAAGTACATTCACCCAGATCTTGGCTGCTGATTAAAATAGAAGTGCTGTGTTGTTACGCCAGGGACACACACACACACACACACACACACACCAGCAACGGATAGCCACACTGGTTCACAGTGACACACGCACAGCCACTGCCACTGATACTCACCAACATCCTTTGCCCTGTGTGTGTGTGTGACTGGGTGTGTGTGTGACTGGGTGTGTGTGCTGGCTCGTGCAGAATTTTTAATAACCTCTTTTGATTAGAATCCCCCTCCAGCGGCTTATTTAGGGCTGGATTTGGAGCGGGTTTAAAGGCCACCGCCCCCCGGGGGGCGCTCCATTGCACTTCTCTGAATTCAAATACGATGTCCTTGACACCTCTGTATCCTGTTCCCATTTTGCACTATTTTTGCTGCAGCAGCAACAGATGAGTAGCGAGGGGGGGTTGTGGGCTCCTTAAACCAGCTGTTAACCTGTGTGTCCCCCCCCCCTTTACTCCACAGAGTCGCTCCAGGCAAGAGGACCCAGAGCAAGCTCGACTGAAACAGAAAGCTAAGGAGGTAAGCTGCTGCGGAGATCATTACCCTTGACATTTCCCCGACTCCAGCGTATTAATTTTTCATGCCTCACTACATATGTAATGCCATTTAAAGTCGGACTTAAAAAAGTTTGAAGAATTATTTGCGCCGATTGATGCCCATGTGTGGAAAATGATTTTCTGTGCACTAAAGACACCCTCCTCTTCCTCCACCCCCCTTCTTTTCCTTTTATTCATCTATTTCAGCCTCTTCATCTTGCACCAGTTTTGATTTTTGACATCCTTGAACCCCTCTTCTGATAGATGGGCTATCAGGGGAAGGATATGCAGTCATAATTGTAGTCACTTTTGTAGGTTTATTCTGTATTCATTTCCAAATCTCAATCCTTCTTTAAATTATGATATTTGATAATGCGATTTTGTCGTTGTCGCAAAACTTATTATCGTACTCATCACGGTGTAGGTCAAAACATGGTGAAAAAACCCAACATTTTCTTTTTATTTCTTTTTGGAAAGAGTCAAATTGCAGCAATAGTTAAATAGTGAATGACAGTTTCAGATGTACCAGTCCATGCTTTATATTAACTTCTGCTACAAGAGAGTTATTTCCTTCTTCAAGTAATAGGCCAAGGCATAACACGTAGCGTTACAAATTGGGAAATGTTTTACTGATGTAAAGCAGTACGTTGCTATATCCTCCTCATTTTAAGTGCAGGTCTTGTATATGGTAAAATTCCCAGTGGACCCCGGAAAGTAGACCACTCTTCTTTTCAGTGGTTGGTTAATGTTGTTTACGCAAACGATATACTTCTGTTACAGCGGAAGTTTGCATTTGTTTTTTTTCTTTGTTTACTCCAGAATAACTTCACTAGGTGTTTTCAGTCCATGGCTCACTAACAAGGATCAAGAGGATTGCGTGGAGCTTCCATAGAGTAGTCTGAGTATGCAGGAGGATAAAACAAGCACCATTCACCTGTTGTTGTTGTTGTTGATGTAGAACTTAAGGAGCAGACGTGGTTTCTTCTAAGACACTTGTTCTTTTTAAAAAAGCCTTTCATTCATCCAGGTAAAGTTTACTGAGCACGTATGCACTTTTCTCACTAACCCCTAATTTATTCTTATACAGTTCTACAATTTTCCACCTGACAGCTTCCCAGTGCAACCACTGTCTTTTAATGTTGGCCACTCAGCCATTTATATTTAGGGGTAACTGCAAATGCCTTGCTCCAGGGCAACTCAGTGTTGTTGTCTGGCCAAAGAATTAAATTTTTAGGTTTTTCTTAGCGAGTCTGTGGTGTTGAACTTGTGACCATCAAGTGACAAGTGGACTTCTGTTACCTCTGGCTACTGGCAGCGCTCTGTCTTTTTTCTGCGTCTCTCCTGGACATTTCTTTCTAGCAACATTGAGCCCTGCTGCAGTTTAGAACATTCACTCTAGATCTCAGCCTACCCATAAGCCCCACATATGCAAATGAAGCAGCGTAATAGGCAGCGCGATAGGTTTGCCCCAGGGGCCATGTGATCAAAGTGGATCTCCTCCCTGTTAAGTGGCAGTCCGCTCGTCATCTGGATACGGCCAGATTAGTGCCTCGTGAGGAGACGCCGGGTGCACGTATGCACATTTTCATTTGGAATTTTAAGAAGGTGGTTTGGAAATTGTTACTTTATGTAATGCTTTATCCCGAGAGACGAGGAAGACTCCCAGCCCCCCAACTACACACACACACTTCACCCCTCTTCTACCTCCCTCACCTCTTTCTCTTTTGCTTAATGGCCGTCGTTTCTCAGCCCCCGTGCCTCTCCGGTTTTTATCACCTGAGCTGGCTGTTGGTGTCACTGCAGAGTCTGTCGGCAGCTCACACATCTGTGCAAATTTCATCAGGATAATGAGCCTGAGCTACTCTTCCAGGCGATGGGCATAGGAGCCAGCCTCTCTTTAAGCCCGTCTCCCTGCTCACGCACACACACGCACACTAAACAACCACCACCACCAAACAATCATCATTTTGGAGAGATGGAATTACAACTTGTTATGTACTTTAGTTTAACCAAGTGTTGGCGTGTAAATTGAGCTGGCACATGATTTGTTTTTAAAAAGGCAGGCGCTGTGTGTTGTGAAACTACTGCTGCAAACCTGAGTCCAGTGACCAGGTATAAACCCATGATCAACAAATAAATATGGTATAGTATGAATGGTCAAGCTCAAGTTGAATGTCAAGCCGTCAATTAGATTAGAACGTACACCAAAATTGCAAAAGGGCTTTACAATCTGTAAACATGCAAACCTACTTTCTTAGACCCTTTATTTAGAGTAAAAACTCCACAAGAAAATGGGAGAAACCTCAGGAAGAGCAACAGAGAAGGGAGCCCTCTACCAACGTGTATCTAGGATCCTTTGTCACACCCAGGTTGTAGTAGGTGAAAGTGTTTTTGTCTGACAAAGTGATTTCACTTGCACCTTGTAGATCCACACAGGCCACATAGCAGGTGCGTCAATGGCTACAGTTAACTAGCATTGCTCACAGTTTCTGCTTAACCCTGATGGCATCACAGAAGTATTAGTTCTCACCTTTTCACAGTCCATAAATGCTAACATGGTGGCAATAAAGGCAGATTAGTGAAAAATACAAAATAAAAGATTTAGATTAGATTAAACCTCACAATCTAAACTGTGTTGTTGTGAATCCACCATCGTCCTACATGGATTCCTGAGCCTGTTGTCCAGTCTGTACATCTAACACTTAAACTCTGAAAATATCTTGACCACCACTGGCCACACTGCCATGTATTTGGCGTTCATGTTCCTCAGAGGATAAATCATGATGCTTTTGTAATTCTTTGATATTTCCTTTAGCGCTACTATCAGGCCAAAAGGTTCATTTGTAAACAAGGAATATCAGGAGCTAATTGGCAGATTGCCATGACATTCACTGAGCACATTCATGCTCCCCAGCAGATCAAACCCTTCTATTGTGGAAAATCCACAATAGGGGGCTTGTGCTACCCTCAGGCCAAAACTCTGGACACAGCATATCTCACAATATTACAGGCAAATTAAGTTGCCATGAACTTTAAAGCAGATTTATGCTCCCAAGGGGATAACACATTTGTTTTTAATGATTCCTGTAGACATGGTCTCAGGATAAAGTACAACACTAGGCCCAAAAATACCAAAATCAATGGTACTATAGTTTTGTATTGAGGGGTAATGACCATTCTAGGCTAGGTATTACTGGCAGGGCTTTGGGATTTTGGTCTTGTACATTTATGTAGCTGGGCCTCTAATTGTGTATTTGCATCAGCAACCTAACCCACAACCATGTCACCAGGAGAGCAGGCTGTTCAGACAGAGTTTTTGCATGAGAGGGAGGCAAAGCGGTCTAGCGCTTCTGTTTCCTCCATTCACTACCATTTGGCCGAAAGGTCAGATGGGCTATTTCAGAAATGCCCCCAGTGAAAATCAATGGGCAAATCGTGGAGCTCAGTTCCTGTTTGTTGTTGTTGTTGGTGGTGGGTCTGTGTGCTCTGTCTGTTCCATCACTGAGGCAGGAGGCCAGGCAATGCCTAGTCATTGAGAGTGAGAGAATGAGAGAGAGAGAGAGAAAGGAAAGGAGACAGAGAGACAGAGACAAAGAGACGGAGAGCAAAGGAGACTTGGGGGGGAGAAAGAGAGGGGAGGCAGAGAGAGATAGAGAGGGAGTTAAGGCCAGTAGAGATACATCACGATGTCAGACACACAGACACACTGCAGCCACAGATTCATCATCGCAACCGCGTCTGCAGGCACAACTGGACACAGGAAACGAGTGAACTGGAGAAGAGGAGTGGAGCAAGGACAGGCGAAGAGAGACGAGGGAAGAGGGGAAAGACAAATTGGCTACCACAGCTGGCCAAAATCTGGCCAAAAGCTCCTGTTAGGACCTGTTCAGCTGCTAAAGCAAACCATGTTATGCCAAGAACACACATATTTCCACTGTATAGCATTGTTAAAATGAGTTGGTTAAGGATCCAACCATCGTAAACTATTGCTCTTTTTCCAATTGTTCCTCACAGCAAGACTCCACTTATAGCTTAGAGTGATTCCAAGGGACTTGAAACTTAGAGATGACCAATAGGAATCTCAAAGGTTTTTGTTTGAATAATTTTCCTGAAATATTTTTCTTCTTCAGGCATTCAGAAATTTTCTTTGCCCATTTTGATGCACCAGCATTGCTTGAAATGTCTTGAACCTCTACTGAATTAATTCCTCCCTAACTCAACTTTGAACCTCCTGCAGTTATACAACCTACTACACATCCTTTGCTTTACTAAAGAATATATGTCAGAATCTATGAGTTGTATTAGATTAATACCCATGTGATCAATGAATACCATGGTCAGATTTAGCATATTTTGCCTCATTACCCACATAATAAAGAACTGTTCACAATAATGTTATGCATGTTATTTAGATCACAGGCCTCTGCTCTGCCAGTATGCACCAAGCTTTAATACACACATATATGTTTCTTGATTGGCCTGGCATCCTCCACAAGTGGTCAGGTCATGGGGAGACTGGAATCCACCCACACTGAAAGCTCCACCAGCCAGAGCCTCATACTTCTCCACAGAGGGGAGGCTCTTGTGTGTTAGAGGACAATGTAGCAGCCCCTTAGTTTTTATTAGGCCAGTTATATCTCGGAGTTCATAGGCTCTCATCCTCTGGCCCTCCACAAACTGCTCTCCTCAAAGAGGCACTCTCCCCCAGTAGGCAGGCCCCAGGGCAAAAAGCCTGCTACCCTCCTCCACGTTCTCTCCCTTTCTGTGCTGACTTTCAAAGAGAATTCCTGCTGTTTTGTGCGTCCCAATTCATAGTTGTTATATTTGTGTCTTCTGGCCTCACAGATGCACAGTACCTTAATATGAATAGAGCAGCAGCATTCATGGTCAGCTCGTGGCGTGAGTAGACGAACATTATGCTCAAGTGGAAAGATCATGTGTTTTTAAACCTGTTTCTTTTTTTAATAATTAGGTAATCATTAG